TGTCATCATGCATGAAGTTGTAGATGAATCACTGCGTAAAATATGTCACTATCAATAGAATGTGCCGCAGCATTATTATCTTTTAGATACCCTAGTTTTAAATTTATTGCTTCATTTATATTGGATTATCAAGGGAAAAAAAAAACTCGATGGGTCCAACCGGAAGCGATCTGATTGGCGTTCGATACCGTGAAGGAACATCGCGAGCAACCTGGGACGAGCAACCCGTCAAGAACGAACAATTTGAACAAGAAGTTCTACACACGTAGAGAATATTTCATGCGTGGCAAGTAGCTAAACTTGTCTGTTTTTTGTGTTTACCGATGCAGAATTTCAGAGCATTCTTCCGGTCAAATCCGTCTGTGACGGCTTAGTTAGTGATTTATTTACCATTGTCCTCTGATGAACTTCACATCTCGCTGTCGATAATTTCCTCGCACAAATCGTTACGCGTTCTTGACAACCGGTCCATCCGTTAGGAATCTTCACTTTAATCGCATCAAGCAAAATGGCCGTGCAAGCATCTTGTATGGAACTAGCACTGGAAGGAGAGAGACTCTGCAAAGCCGGCGATTGCCGCGCGGGTGTCAGCTTCTTTGAAGCCGCCGTCCAAGTCGGTACAGAGGATTTGAAGACTCTAAGTGCTGTGTATAGCCAATTAGGAAACGCTTACTTCTACCTTCAGGAATACGAAAAAGCCCTGGAATTCCACCGTCATGATTTGACCCTAGCTAGGACTCTTGGAGACAAAGTCGGAGAAGCTAAAGCCAGCGGAAACCTTGGGAACACTTTGAAGGTTTTGGGAAAATTCGACGAAGCCATAGTTTGTTGCACGAGGCATCTTGATATTTCACGGGAACTTGGTGATAAGGTAAGCTACAGCTAAAATGATTTGTGGGAAATCTGTTAGCTTGGTGTGCAAATGATTCCCGTTATTCGGTGCAAAGAGCAAGTTTAATTAATATAGCACGATCAAATTTCTTTTTACTATACGACAACAGTTAACGAGTTCAAAGGTGGCGACATAATTTGAGCTACCCCAACAATGAGCATTCGTACAGTCACAATGATTTGGCTAATTTTCTGGTTCATTCTTGCATTTCTTTCCTTGTAACACGGTCTTTTTGTGGTGCGCGATTCATATAACGTACGTGTTCTTGTTTACTCTGTTAAATTCATCGGAAAGCGGTTTTTTTGTGTGTGGTTTTCTTCTCAGTCAAAATAAACATTGGCTTTCTGCAGTTTGCAAAATGTGTGCTATTACAACCTTCATTGTTTTCTTCAGCAAAGATTCTATCGATATACTGCAAGCACGTAGCGACTTTTTTCCAAAACGAAGGTCGACCCTTTCAAATTCTCGTTAAATATCAACTTAAAATTATCCGTTCTGGAAAGATTAGTTTTATATTGTTATATTGAAGATTTTTATTAGGCAAAATACGGAGGCATGTGCATTCTTAATTTTGCGATGAATCTTTTATTAGCCATTCGAATTGTTGCACTGCATTCGAATCAACCATTATTTCAGAGTAGATTTGATTGTTTTGAAAAGTATTGTTTAAAGCGAATAGCGATCATGATCAAACGATCGTCGTGTTTCATACCGCATTGAAGCAAATACTTGTTATAAGCTTACGTAGTAGTAAATATCGTGCTCACGAAATCCTAAATATGTCATCGAAAGTGTTATTATTTTTAGTACCAGTTCGCACGACGCAATGAGGATAGCGCGGTTTAGTCTCGAAATAAACATAAGCTTATAAACTCGCTAAGGTTTAATCGTTTCACTTCCTGAATAGGTATGTAATAATTTCTTGCTGCGATCTTTTCGAATGGTACAAGTCTGATTGGTGTACATATCGTCTGCTTGATTTAAGCTTATATCTATTTCGCCAATTAAATCGAACATCGTGTGATGCGGAATTATGCCCTCAAATCTCAGTCATTTAGCAAAATAGCGTATTTTCTTCGGACATTGCGGAACGCTTTGATGTGGGTTCGGGGTACGTGTAAATTAAGCCTCATGAAACTTTATGCTGATGATGTCTGGTAACCAAAGTATGCAAATTTGCGCTGGTTCCGCTAAGCTTTGATATTGCAAAATAAATATTGAAATACCCAGAGTACGTAGATTCCTTCCTCTTTATATTTGTAATCTTTTGCTTTCCCGCAATGACATGCAATTTATCTTCATAGTTTCGAATGAAAGAAAACATTGTTTAAAATTTCCGTAAGTCGGGTAGCACACTTCCTTTTCGATAAATAACTTGTTTACTTAAGGTAATTGCCAAAGATGTTAGATTGCAGTAAATTAAATTACTCGCTCCTCAGTGCTTCTTTACGAATCGCCACCCCCCACTTTTAAGTTAATATTTACAAGTGTACATATTGTGGCTTCACAGATCTTTCTTGTCAAGCAAAAGTTCTAAAAAACAACCTTTTGTTGATACACAGAGACAGATAACATTATGAAAGCAATTCAAGCTGTCACTGAAGTGACTGTTTTCATTTGAAAGCATTTACAAAGTGCTGCAAGTGTGGAATAATATTTTCTTGTAAATATGCAAATAGCAGTTGTTTGAGAAAATGATTTTTTCACCTCTTCAGAGCTTTTATAAGATATCAACGTGATGAAACTGATTACAGAAGATTAGTGAAAATTAAAGATTTTTTGGGAAGATGTGATTGGGGCATTACCTTGGATTGTTTCTAAATTATATACGGATTTATAATAATTGGTCAGGAAGCATGAAATGAATATTTAGTTTTAAGTTCGCAAAATTTGTCTGCCTGTGATTGTTATGTTACAGGGGCCATCTTGTTCACTTTAAGTTTCAGATCCATAGATCTGCTTATTTCAAGCCTCATCAGCCTCCTTGTGTTTATGTTCTTTGGGTATTTAGTGCAAGGCAATTTACTGTCATAGAGCCTTTCTCTATTCAGGAGTATATTAAAAGCGGGGGGCGGTGATCTGTAAAGAAGCACTGAGAACCGAGTAATTTAATTTACCGCAATCTAACCTCTTTTAATTATTAAATCACTCTGACATAGAAAACCTTGTGAATTTCTGGTGCAATCTGAGTAAAATACTGGGGGTGTCCTGTACTAATTATGGACTAGCATCCTAGCAAGGAGAAGTGACTTATTATACTTGTTTTAAGTTGCTTGATTCTGCAGAAACCAGCAGTCCATGAAGTCTGTAGAGAAGCCTTGGAGCCGATTGGCCCATAGCTGCCAGAGCTTATCCCAGTTTCTGTAGCATGAAGTGGCTAGGAGTATTTCTACTCCCCCTAGACGGGATAAGAGTCCATCGCAGGTCACTCTCCCACAATTTGTTAGGTTTCCCCAACAATTCGCTATTACCCATTTATACTCCTGGGGGGAGAGAGGCACTGTGAGAGTTAAGTGTCTTGCCCAAGAACAGAACACAGTGTCCCCAGCCAGGGCTCGAACCCAGACTGCTCAATCCGGGAACAAGCGTACTAACCATGAGGTCACCAAGCCAGCCTATTGCACGACCACTCAGGTTCCAGAAAATTTAAAATTAAAGTGATCCCATGGTGGAGAATTAGGTTCAGTTCATGCTGCTCTCTTGGGTGGGGTGTTCTTCCTGATCCCCAAGAAGTCTGAGAATTCCTTCTTGCAAGAGCCAGCAAAATACAGTAGGTGTTAGCTTATTTTGACACACATGTCTCATGATGAAGACAGGGACAAGGTAAGAATCAAAATTGCTGAATGTCTCAAAGATGGTAGTCACTCAGGCAAAGTGATAATTGGACCACACTGGAGGAAATAAAGTCCCCGCCTAATCCCTTTTAGATTGATCAAAAATAATACTGTTGTCTTTTCAGATTGGTGAAGCCAGAGCTTTGTATAATCTTGGCAATGTGTATCATGCAAAAGGTAAACACTTTGGAAGAAATTTCCATCAGGACCCTGGAGAGTTTCCTGAAGAAGTTCGTTCTGCACTTGAAAGAGCTATTGAATTCTACGAGTAAGTAACAATTTAATGTTCACTTATTTTTAAGCATGAGGGGGGAGATAAGATAACCTAAATGTAACTGCTAATGCATTGAATTCCAGATTAAGTAAGTCAGTTGCAAGTGCTGGCTGCCAAGTAAAAATACTACAGTGAGCATTAAGAGCCAGGAGATGGGTACCAGTGATCTGTTGGCTTTGAATCTTTGAATGCTACGAGCTAGCCTGTTATTGACTAGCATCCCATCTGAGGAGAGAGGGAACATTGCTCTGTTTGGCTGCTTCCTAGTATAGAATGTGGCATAAGCTCTAACTGGTAGTATGGATCAGACCCGGGTTGTTCGAAAGGTGGATAAGGTTATCCACTGGATAAATCACTATTCAGTGGATAGTGTGGTTTGTTTTGTCAACATTTATCCACTGGATAGCGTTATCCGTCTTTTGAACAACTGGGTCCTGAAGTCTAATTGCAACTTAAGAGACTTAATAGTTCTCCAGCTCATCCCTTATTTTCTTATGATGTAGGGCTATTGTGGGCAATAACTGCTGCAGGAATATTACTTTGACTGGCAGTTCAAAAATCACCTTGAAAAGTTTGACACCCAAGGGGGCCATCTTGTCATCATGGCGGTTGTGTACATGTACCCAGCCTCTTCAAAACATACAATTAACACCCTGGGATAGTTTACATTTTAAAGCAAACAGTGGAAGTATTTGCACAGTCACTAAAATGAGTAGCTTCCATGGGCTGGTGTAATGCATCCAACCTTTTCCAAAGGATTGGACCACAGTGGAGTTACAAAATTGTAATACATGTAAGTTATACAGTATTATAAGCATCATCAAGAAATTCAGTTCAGCTTAGTTCAAAACCATTGTGTTTTAGCTCTGGCTGAATTGGTCTAAAGTTTGGATAAGAACCTGGGAAGTTTGTATTTTAAGTCCTAGACTCTACAATACTACCCCTCTTAAGCATTTTTTGTTTTGTTTTCAGGGCCAACCTTGCCATTGTCAAAGAGCTTGGTGACAGAGGTGCTCAAGGCAGAGCCTGTGGCAATCTGGGCAACACTCATTATCTGTTAGGAAACTTTGAACTGGCAATCATGTTCCATGAAGAGGTGTTTATTTGTCACTATTTAGTGATTATTTATAGACCTTGCAGAATAAAGAATCTATCTTTACCTCCTTTTAATTATGTCAGTGAAAATTACATGTAACTTAATTTAAGGAAGGCCGATCTACATGTAGTGTTAGTGGAAAATGGATTTACCACAGTAAGAATAGTTTTTGACAACATGTAGAGTGATTGACAAATGTTTTCATTGGTTCTTAGCCTGTGAACAGAATCTGGCTGGAAGGGCAGAGAAGGAACTGGCTGAGAATGAAGAGAAGTTGCTGCTTCCTCTTTGCCCCTTCCTCGACTGCAGAGCCAGTTCACAGGTTAATTGGTTCTGCACTGACTGGGCTAAATTTGATCCAATCAAACACTGTCGTACATTTTTTCCAACATTAGATGTCTTATCCTTTTTTTTCCTTTGATTCCTAACCAACTAACTGCATTAATTTTTCATTCACCATGATTGACTAGATGAGATCCCTTTGCAACTGACACTATGAATAAATTTACCATTACATTTACACATACATATTAGTTGGAGATTTTACTCTCGTAAATCATTGTTACCAGCTCAATCAAAGTGGCGTCAAGGAGTCATAGGCTGTAGTAAATGATTTTGTGCTCTGCCTGAACTCAGAAGTTATCACCAGCACCTGGTACCTGTAGCGAGTAAAACATAATTTGCCAGATTTCATGCCACAACTCCCTGACCATTCTGATTATTTTTTAAAATTCATTTGATATCCAGAGGTTAGCCATTGCAGAGGAATTCAACGACAAACCAGCAGAGAGACGAGCCTGCAGTAACCTAGGAAATGCACATGTTTTTCTTGGCGAGTTTGAGGTTGCTGCTGAATATTACAAGTAAGTAGAACTTTTGGTTTGTTTGAACTTTGAAAAAGCTAATTTAAAACACAGCAAAAATATTGGGTGAACATGCCTTCTTGATCAACCTTTGTGTTGTGTGATCATGTTATGCATCTTGCTCTGTGTTATTTCTTGGATGCATTTCAAGTTTGAAGTCTGTGTGGACTACCATCTTCGTCATCATGTTTATTAAGTTTGTAAAGCCAATTAGGCATTATTCCAACTGTTAAACTGATAGCGAAGAAACATATGAAAGATCCAATACAAATAAAATCAATGCCTACCTAATCAAAGAATCAAATTACCTAGGCCTAGATTTAGCTCCCCTTTTCATCCACCCAGCCTCCCCTCCTGATGAAACAACATTCCCCCGCATTCCCCTGCAAGAGCTTTAACTGGAGTGTACAAATAATTAGGGCACTGTGTGTCTCACATTTTAGTTGCATTAAAGAAAATATACAACCTTACATGTTAGTCATGGCAAATGTCCCCTTTGTTTGCAGGAGAACACTGGCAATATCCCGTGAACTGGGAGACAGAGCTATTGAAGCACAGGTATGTATTAACATACATTATCATACATCATTATCATATATTATCATTAATTATTAATAATCATAATCAGTCACAGTTCATGAATTTTCAGAAACTGTGGGATTGGATCAGTTGTTCAGAACAGCACATCTAAAAAGCATACCTTTATCAAAATTAACTATTTATTGCATTTAATTGCTCAGATAAGGGCATTTTAAGTTCTAACCTCTCTTATCTTGCGTCCAAATATGTAGGCTTGTTACAGTTTAGGAAACACTTACACTTTGCTGAGAGATTATCGAGAGGCCGTAGAGTTTCACTCCAGACACTTGGAGATTGCTCAAGAATTGGGAGACAGGTGAGCTATATACAACCGTCATTTACGTCATTTTTTTCGTCTCGAAGGCAGGTTCGGAATATACACCCGATTTAGAAACAAATATTGAAACTTTTCCTTGTCGATATCAATTGATCTCTTTTTATATATAAAATATTTGCCAGGCTTAACGTAAGTTGCGTCAGGTCTGTGCTAATATTAAGATATTTTTGTGGCGTAAACAAAAATTACCCAAAACGTTTGTCTTAATATTTTTCGTCAACTCGGATTAAATGATCTCACAGACAATTTAAAAGTCATCTACAAAGAAGCCTGGCACGCATCAAACAGAATCTTTGTCTGACAATTCTGTGACAAGTGGTTTTTTGCAACAAAATGGCAAAAATATCCTGACGAACTCTAGTATTCTTCTATTGCGTTCCCGGAACTGTTGCTAACCAAACTCTTTGTTGACTGGCTATCCTAAGTGCTGGCAAATACACGACCCTCTTTTGTGTCTGTTATGAATTCAAGCAATTATCCCGCCATTTTGTTTTTCTTTTCCCGAAGCCAAGTATCCTCTCGAAACAATTCTGAAGCTATTGAAGAAGCCCAGTTGGGGATATCTGTTCTTTTAATTTGTCTCTTTCCTTTTGTTTTTGCTTTCCAGTGCGTTAGAAGACTCAAACTTCCTAGCTACCTGTACTTGTTTTACAATAAATTATACTCTCTTTGACTATACAAAAACCGAACAATTGACTCTTTAAAGCCGAGAAAGTCGTTAACACTTTGTACTCAATCACACAAAAGCCATACTTATCACTTCATGTGTACATTTTCGATCAAACATTTCAAGAGTGTAATTACGGGAGCTTTGCCTCGTACTGTATTCTGAACAAATCTTTTGATCACGTAAAGCCTTACATGTACGCTGGTCTTGTTCAAATCAGTTCTGCCTCCATTTCTTGCAGGGTCGGTGAAGGCCGGGCATGTTGGAGTTTGGGTAATGCACATACGGCTTTAGGTAACCACGAAACAGCACTGGACTTTGCTCAGAAACACTTGGAGATTTCAAAAGAGGTAACGCATAGATACACAATATTATAACCTACAGACATTTAAAGCCCATCTGCGCAGATGGAAACGATGTTTTAGCCTTATAATTCAGAGTTTTTACTGACTCTTGTTTTCTTGTGAGCAAAAACCTCGCGAATAAATATTTAGGGCGTTCTATTGTTTTAACACGTGTCAAAACGCGAGATAAAAGTGTTTTTTTTAAGGGCACCCAGGTCAGGAAATGTCCATTTCAATTTCTTTGGTCGATAGCCTTGTCCAATTTTTTGGAGTTTACCAGATGTTAAATCTTGTGTTTTCGTGTAACTGAGAAACGAAATTGTGTTTTCGTAAAATACGCACCGGGTACAACAATTAAAAACGTTTTGGGTGAATTTGGCAAAAATTCTAAATTCATCTTCTGGTAAATTACAATAAAGTCAATCATCTGGCTGACGCATACCCTAAATCTGAGAATCGTTTTTCCCTTTAACATTTCGTTGATGGAGACGCTTTGCTTACAAGTAGACTGTTTACTACTTGATTATATCTCAATGAATCCGAGAAAATTTATGATAAATTTTTTGAAACTAAAATTGTGTTCGTTATGCATGATTGAGATTTCGTTATCATCAAGTTGGTGTTCACGCGAAGAACTTAGGTCTTGGCTAGTTCAAAAGACTGTGAGCTTGGCAGGGCTGTTCGAAAACCGGTTGACTCTAAACAGAAGGAAAAATAATATAAACGGAAAACTTCGCCGAAAAGTTACAAAAATGAAATCACAATTTTCGCTAATCCTGGGTTAGTTAAATCGGGCTTTGAACAACCCGGCTGGACGATAACTGTTATTTATTATATGGCTAGCACCGTGAGCGGGCAAGATGAATCAAATCCTGCGCTGTGATTGGCTACCCGAGCGGGCAAGATGGAGCTATCTTGCCCGCTCGGGACTTCCCGCCGTGTCCCGCAAGAAAAATTTCCCCGAAAGCCATATGATAAATCCTTTATTGACCAAACTTGTTTGGTCAAGATGGCTGGATATTGGCCTCGATCTCTTTTTGCGAGTTTATGGACCTCGACTCCGTCTCGGTCCATAAACACGCAAAAAAAGAACTTGGCCAAAATCCAGTCATCTTGACCTCACACTTGGTCAAAAACCCATACTTGTTACAGTTGTTAGTTATGTTTAAATCATCCACGTTTGTTGATCATACTGGAGGTGATTGACAGCTGTTTAGCTATCATTCTGTGAAGACAAACATAAACCGAAAGAAAAATAAGTTTTAAGCCTGTAGTTTCAAAATGGCAATAAGTGATATTTCCTTATTTATAAAAATAAAAACTTTCGTGAATTCATTCACAACTGTTATACTGCCATGTGAATCTTATAACAAAGCCATTTTTTTAAAGATTCCGCTTCATTTTGCAGAAACACGGCCAAATTTAGTACAAGTTCAAACCAGACTTGAAAATGCGACACTCGCGTCGTGTGATTTGTTGGTTTTGTCGCTTTCCATTCGTTCAAAAATTCCAGTTTAAAATTTACAGTTGCGAATGGGGCAGCATTTTCCGGTCCGGAAAGAGGACAACGTGGCGAGTTATACCCAAATGTTCGAAAATTCCTCAATGGGAATTTCCATTCCATTGGATTATCTTCTAGAAATTTCAGGAATTTTCGGTTAAATGGTTCTCATTTCCCCAATCTGCAGTTTTCGGCTCTTCCGAAAAATGTCCCTGAAAATTGTTGTACCATTTTCCCAGGGGTTGGGAGGCACCCCTAGAATAATTGGGTGTGGATTGTAGGCTATCATGATCTTCTTAAAACCCTTACCCTATTTCAGACCCGAACCGAAATTAAAACCCTAATTCAGACCAAAACGGCTCAAAAAGCACATCCTTTGGTTCTGTGTGTACCTACATGCAATCCGCCGTAGGAAAAAAGATGGCGGCTGGTACATTTACCCACAGTTCTTAGCGCATGACAACTTTAAAAACGTTTATAAAAACGTACAGAAACTTTATAAAATCTTCAAACCCAGGCTACTCAATGTCCTTTGTACAGGGACAACTATTATAAACATTTGGCTTTCTTTTCTTAGTTCCTTATAGGCTGTGTTAGGTTCGCAAGGGATTGTGGTAAAATGTACAGCCGCCATCTTTTTTCCTACGGTGGATTAAGCGCATATAAGAAAGTACCTCCCGCCCGGACCATTTTCCGGCGTTTTGGCGAATGTTTCAGAATTTTTGGTTGAATGGAAAGCGCCCAAAGTTTATAGACTGTTTTCATCCTAGCTTCCGCTAGAGATCGTCACTTCCCAATGCCTTCCAGTTATTTACCGTCTGCTTCAGTTCCAGTCATCTGTCATCTGAACGCAGGCGATTTTTTAGTTTCCTGGTTGAAGTAAATTGCAAATTTGATTTTCAAAGAAAGCAACGTCGGTTTACGTCTTCTCGTCCGCGGTATCTGTCTGCAAGGCATTAGGTGGTGCACCTGAACAAAATATATAAGTTTCCACTTGCAAACAGTGTGGTTTTAGTCAATTTAACCTAAGTATTTTGATGTTAGAGAATTTCCTGTCGTAACTTATGCTCTGAATTGCTTGACTGTGTTTTTCTCATGAAACACTTCAGGAAGGTTTCTGTCGAGCTTGTTTGTTGAGAAACCAGTTTAAATTCATGAGGCCTGTTTGTCTGTGTTGTTTTTCCTCGACCTCGAAGGGGTCTCGGGGAAACAAAACTCACGCACTGTTTCCCTTGGGGCCATTCTTTAAATTGACTGACGTTTCCACATCGACAACCTGAGCGGAAGTCATCTTCAGAGTCGAGTGAAGAGTGTTTGTCAGTCGATGGCGTTATATAAGTCTGGTCCATTGAAACGGATTCATCAGTTTAGGTCTGATATTCTTATTTGATTCTTCTCTCAAGGTCGGAGATCGCACAGGACAAATTACAGCACAAATGAACATCTCAGACCTCAGATCTCTTCTTGGGATCCAAGACGATTCACGTGAAACGTAAGCAATATTTCCAGGTTAGATCTTTTAAGCCATGCCAGTGCCCAGCTTTGCTGAATATCTCTTGCGAGTATCGCAGTATTTCGCGAGTATAGTTTGAGTCAAAATGCATGTAATGGGTAAAACTATACAGCAATACTCCCCAATAAAATGTCTTAAGGCTGATTTCCATCTAGAGGTTTCCACAAAGATCGCTAAGACCGTAGAGAAAGAAGTGAAGTCTGACACAACGAACTCTGATGGCTGAAAAGCTGTTATGTTTCCATATGATTACAACGTTTGCTGAACCTTTTCTTCAGCGATGGCCGCGGTCATGTGGAAAGCAACCTTAATAGATCTATTCGTTTTGGCGCTTTCGTGCATTCAAGACTGTAGATAATCAGTTAATTCGGTCTCGTAGTGTAACGATATAGAGAGTTATTTGTACGGGCGTTTCGCTGTATTTACCCTCTACTCAGGGTGAAGTTGGATCGTAGCATGGTTAATATTAGCACCATAAACTATCTTTCGCTGCAGCGACGTTTGTTTGCTGAACAGAAACATATCTGGGATGAAGAAATGGTTGATCCCATGAAATTAATTGAATAGAAAAGTGCTGATCAGCCTCCTCTCAAAGCTTTCGAGAGCGATTTTTGGTGGTTACATCATTCGTAGGCTGGAAAAGTACCCGGTTTCAGCGGAAACAGGTTATGGCAAACGTGAATTACTTCCGAAAATGTCGTCTTCGAGAAGTCGCTGCATGAGATGGTTTGCTAATTAACGTCACGTGTGTTCGTACTGTCTTCTGATTGGACAATACGAATTGGAAACTCTCTGAGTCCTTGCAAGACTGCTTGCTAGATGAATTTCCTACGTTAAAAGCGCTACTTGTAAAGAAATTTTGCACGCTCATTTTACACACTTGAATTTCTGTTGAGACGTCTGATTTCGTGTTTATCTCAGAACAATCTGTTTGAATGTTCTGCCGTTTTAATCATCTTTATTTCTTTGTGGCTCCTTAGTGTATTTTTTGTGTGTTTCTATAAACGATCAATCACCTAGAACAGAGAAAACTAGTTGTGCGAATCGCTACTCACTGTTTGTATTATTTTATTCTTGTAGAAACTCGACCGTCGCGGCGGGAAATTCAGAAAATGTACATCGCAGCAGTCCGGGATCCATTAAACAGCTTTTCAACAGGAAATTCAGTAATTTAGAGGCAGGTAAACACAACAACAGCTAGACAACAACATCAGCTGCAACCCCTTGACCGTAGATAAATGATCGATAAATGATTTTTTCTTAGAAGTGTTCCGTCAACCGCAAAACTTGAAAATGTCACTCTAAAAAAATGTACATGTTTCTACAGTAACTTCTGCCATTGTCAGTTACAACTAGAGAGAATTTGAATGTACAAGTTAAGATACAAGTTTTATCAGAGGCATATCACCTGATATGCTTCTGGTTTTATACAATAGGTGTTACCTAGAATAGACTAGCTAACAAGAAAACACGAATAAACTACGTGAAATTGAAAACAAAAGAACAACAGTAAGATGCAGAAGAACGATCTAGCTTAATCGAAAACAAAACCATAAAGCGATTTTTCTCGTTGTTTTAAGGGTTAGAGCACCTCTTGTAATTTATTTTTTTTGACTTCAGTAAATACACTTGATGTTGTTCACATGCTCGCGTAAAAAGTCTTTATCTACTTGGTCGTCTTTTCTATTTTCCTTTTCAGACAAGCGAAAAGCTGAGCCAGCTGCATCTGCTGACGTAAGTTTCACCTTTACGTTGAAGCTATGCCTGTTTGATCTACATTACTTGTTAGACTGTATACAGAGTCAGAAGGTGTTAGAATCACCGAAAAAGTCGTAGAAGCTCTTGAAATTAAGGCGGAGCATAAGTTCCCAGATAAGAAAAGATCTTGACATTCAGAAGTGTTACTGTTGTGGAACCTCATTAAAATATCACGAGAAGTGTACGTCCTTAATTGCTCGCGCTTTCATACGGATTACCTATACAAATTTCATGAGAAAATGGAAGTTCAAATACTTAATCGTAATGAAATTTCTCAATAAAACATCTTCACAATTGTTGTTATAGGACCTGGCTAATTACTTTTTCGCGACAGTTTTGAAAACAGTTTCATACGTGAATCTTGAAAAAGCATCAATAAGCTGAAGACAAAGTAATGTGGAACATCAGAAGTAGCTTTTAATAAACTTCGTCCCAGTTTTCAACCCTTTCAGTTGTAGTCCGGTAGTCCAGTAGTCCAGTAGTCCAGTCCGGTAGCGTAGAAACACGTGGAAGTGTACTTGCGGTATTTTCTGGTAATATATCGGACCTATTCTGTTGTTTTTCCTTAAGTGAATGTTAATGGCTCCCTGGGGAGGTAATTCGCAGTCATTTAACGATCGGATGTTCGTAGAACGCTAAAGAGCTGTAGTTAATTACAAGAAAAACATTTCTGTTTAATTCTTGGCACCTCGCCCGGGGCCATTAACAGAAAACATCTTTGCGAACGGTTGGCATCAGTGCGAATCAGTGCCGGTAAGAGTTGTTATTAGCTATCACGAACGAAGGATGCTGTTTCGATTTTTACATTTCGAGACCCTCACATGAAACTGTTGTTCTTAAGTAAACGGAATAAAAAGTGCTAATTCTTCCGGTTTTTTGTTGATTCGTTCAGACCAAGTGACGTCATATTTACCCTCTTACTGAACAACGTAGCACGTTCTGCGCTATGTTTTAAAAGCACCACTTGAGCTTGTGATCTAGACTTTTGGAACAGACATAGCTTGAAACAACTGCGTCTCTTAGAAAACAGCCCGATTTTTTGGTGAAAGGTCTGCAGCAAGATTTGAGTGTCAAATTTATTGGACATAATGGTATGGCGATGCGTCCACCTTCAGTTACAGTTATTTAAGCGGGTGTTGTAAGAAATTAATTTAAAAGCAAGAAACGCTCGGCGGACAATTTGTGAGCAAGTGCGTACACTGTCGAAATTGCTGCAAGAAATCCGGCTGCTGTAGACTAAAGACCTGTTGAGGTTTCCTCAGAATTTGAGAGACGCATTCGTTTGTTTTGAAAACGTTGCAATGATCACCGAAGCCGTACGTTTAGGACTTTTTAAAAGAAAACTGGGATTTTAAGCTCCGTGGACAGTGTATTTTCATGTGATTTCTTTTTTTTAGGTGTATATGTCACAGCATTATTCTGCGCGAAGAGATTTCTTTGAAATTCACGCTAGATCCCTGTTAATGTTTTGCAACCCACGATGTGGTCACGGTTAATGGACAATTTCTCTTAACTTCCAGTTTAAATATCGCTCATAAACTTGCTTTCTCGTTATCTTTGGAGCCCTTAAATTTGAAGTGTAATTCACTTAATATGATTTTATCTTTCTCCAGGGTGCAACCAAAGCTCGTTCGTCGTCTTTGACGTCTAGAAAGCCATTGGATCACGATGATGTACAAGTTCGTGTGCATTCTGCTGAGGTAAACGATTAAAAATGCTCAGAATATTTTTCATTTGTTTGGTGAACAGCCGAGGGAAACTACAGCGCTCTCCGAACATGGGGAGGCTTCGTGTTTGGTTTTTGTTTTTTTGTTTTTTTTCTTCTTTTTTTTTCTTTCATCTCTTCACTTATTTGTTAGGCAGCTTTTTCCACATTAAAAAAAAGGCAGCTCGAGTAAACACGACGAAGAAACGTTGGTCGGCGACGCTTTCAAAAAATAAATTAACATTTCACGGCTAACACTCCAGTTTGTTCGTCGATATCATAGCTATTATTTTGGTGTTTAGTTAAGATGAACACTGCAAAAAATCCTTTCGATAAATAAAAGGATGGTTTGTTGAGTTTACTTTTGGGAAGGGGGTTTGAGGTAAGGAATTTCCCGTAGTCTGTCGCTGTTAGCAGTTCGCAGAGGACGGCTTAGCAATTCACCAAGATTTATTGCGCGTATGCAAGGTCACTGTGACGCGTTTTGTTTCGAGGAGACGTTGTGGTGTGCTTAAAACTTCCTGTCAATGTTTACAATATTTTTCGTAAACAATATTTTAGAATAATGACAATCGCAAGACGTGTAGTTCTCTAACTGACTGGGTGGGGTATTTTCAGGATGTTTGATAGTTACTTCAGGTCAATATTGGTCTCATAAAGTGATCGAAATTCTAAAATCTAACTTCATTATCCTAGAAACTTGTTCACTTTACTCCTTTCAGACACTTCTGTTCAACAATCTTTGTATGACTGTACCTGTCGAATAGTGCCAGCCTTGCTTTCGGGATAGATCATTTTAAAGTTTGTCACACCCACACCTATTTCATTACAATGCACAATAGTTTCGTGTTTTTTAATAATTTATGGTATGAAAAAAATTTGAAAGTGATACCTTAAGAGTCTTTTAGTGAAAATTAATAATATTGACGGAAAACCAGGTTGAGCGTTTGCGTGATTTTAAAGCTTTCATTCGCTTCCACAAAAGATACAACAACTTGATGGACTTTTGAACTTTGCAAACGTTAAATTCCCTCGTATATGGAACCTTTTTGGAATAGTTTTCTTTCTTCTGAGCTATTTCAGACTCTGGCATCGGGATGGAAATAGAAAATGCGTATATCTCCCAAACCTTTTTTTTCTGCTCACAATGTTTTTCATGCATTTGTTTTATTTTTATTTTATTGCTGTTTATGTAATAAACTCTAACTCGATTAACTGGATTCTTCCAAGGTTCTCGTGTAGCTTGTACAAAGACGGAAGTAAAATATAAACATGATAAAGCACATTCTTAAGATGTACCAGATAAAAAATATTTAAAAGGATATACTCTTGAAACCCTTGATGTCATTCAGAATTTTTTAAGTATCAATTTAAATTTTTGTCATACCTTGAAAAGCGAAAATAGAAATAATACGCAAGTATTGGTTTTGTGGCAATCAATTTTATAAAGATAATTATCGACATGAAATGAAATGTACTCAAATATCAGCTTTGTTGGAACACAAAGTTTATGAAAACAATGGCTTTGTAGGATCAGAGGAATCAAATGTAGTTTAGGTTTTATAATTGCAATGATGCGAATTTTCAGAAAAAGTATTCATAATCTATGATTATAATGGTTTGGTTCAAAGCTACAACGAGTGACAAAAGTGTTGAGACACTTCGCAGTGAAATTCGATTTTCGAGCGACTTGGAGACATTCCTCGGTTGGCTATTCAAAGCCGTAATAATAAGATATAGTGGCACACGGGAGGTCTTGAACCTGGGACCTCTGGATTTCAAGACCAACGCCCTAAACCACTCGGCCATGTCAAATATATATTTTATAATCTTCTATTTCCGTCATTTAACAGAAGCGAAATGACAACAGCCTGGACGAAAACTTCTTCGAGTTCCTAAGCCGTTGCCAGGGAAACCGAATGGACGAGCAGCGCTGCGAGTTACCTAAACCAATCGAAAAAAGCAAAAGTACTGAAGACATGTTGGATATGGTGGAGCGTGTGCAAGGCGACAGAATGGAGGAACAACGAAGCGATCTTCCATCTGATGACGAGACCTCTCAGATGCCTGTATTAAGTACGTTTGATTCCCACATTCCTAGTGGTATTGAATCAATTTTTTAAACGGGCAATCTTAGCTCACGTAATTAGTTTCTTCTCAAATTTAGCAACTGCCCAATTTAGAAACACATCTTAAGTAGAATGAGTGTGCAAAATGCAGTTATACTGCCAAGTTTTCAAAGTGAAATTCCGCAATATTACCAGATTTTGCATAGCTGCGGGGCAACCCTGTGTCCTGCCATCAAATGTCTCTGGACATTGACTTGTTTCAAAAATTTATTTGTCAAGCGAGCGATTATATTAAATGTCACATATTTAAACTGCGATAGCAGAGATACACTATATTACTTGTATGTAATATGGAATATTTCTCAAAGCAATGTAAGGTGGCCATATTGATGTACCAAACCAATCCTGTGGGAGTTGAACTGTTTTCCTATGTAAACACTTTCTTTTGTTCGAATAAATTTGTAAGCTGCTGGTCACCTGAGTGAAAACGCCCTATAGTAGATGTATCGGTCAATATTCGTGTTTTCCTTGGTAAAGTAACTATATGGCTAAAAGGTTACCCAACTATTTAATTAGCGGTAAGTCTGTGCTAAGGAACTTTTTATCATATTCATCTAATTCCACATTATTTTAAACCAGGAAAAACGTCAAGGAAAGGCGACAATCCGGGCGATGAAGATCTTTATGAAATGGTGCTTCGAAGTCAAGTGAGTATCAAGTGGGTCACGTCAGTTTGTCCATTCGGCCGGTTGAGGAATGGACTACGAGTAGTCCCTCTTTCGCTTAGTGCGTCATGCGCGGCGCGAAAGAAAAATGGCTGCGCGAAATCCTGGGGGCGAGAAGCTTCTCCCAGGAGTTCGCGCGGCCATCTTACCTCGAGGTTTTCTTTCGCGTCACGCGCGACAGACTAAGCGAAAGAGGGGCTACTCGTAGACTAGTTGAAGAAGGGTGGGTTTTCAAAGTCCTCATGAAAGTACTGAGTTTTTAAAGCGATCATGTACCGTTAAGCCCCACACTTGGAGGACCAACAAAGCCTTGTCGTTTTACGGCTTTAATTTCATGCATAGAGATGGATCTGTGACTGAGATCTCTACTTTCTCTCCCCAGTCTCACCGTATCGAGGATCAGCGCTCGGAGCCGCCACCATCTGCGCCCACGGTACCCGACGAGGACTTCTTTGGTCTTATACTTCGCTTGCAGTCGAACAGAATGGACGATCAGCGGTCTTCTGCTCCGGGTGGTCGAAAACTTCAATTTCAACCCAGGCGATAGAGTGAGAAATTGTACGGTTTACCTTTACGGGTTTATTGTAAATTTAAAACTTAAGGTGTTTGTTAGTTTTCAGTGTTGTTAGCTGGGCTAGAACACTGAAATGTTTTCAAGAGTGAAACGAGGGGTCCAAATTGTAACGAATATGGAACGAGTTGTGCACAAGCATGTAGATATTAACAGTAATGCGATGCATATTTTCAAAGAAGCTGGAAACAAGCGGACTTTCTCTTAGCTCGTGACATAAGACCGAGTGACAAGAAGGAAGAAATATTACGAGACTAGAAAATTGAATATTGCGTGACACGCCAGCTCTGTTAAGATTTACTGAAGAGTTAAAAGGAACTAAACACACTTCTTAGCAAATTTAATAGCGTGAATGAGCGTGTTTTCAGCATTTGAACAACACAGATGTCAAGTAATTAGTTTGCATGAAGTGTTTTAGGCAAAATGTAAATTTTTACAAATTTTGGTCTTTTATCCATCACGCAGCGTTTGTGTAAATTTAATCTTTTTATTGAGCTCTCATTAATACCTACTACCACGTGACAAGAGCGCAGACGAGCTATTTTTAGATGCATAATTTTTCGTGTGACCAGCACAAGACAGTCACGTGATCTTGATATTGTGCTATCTTGAAACTTAGACCTTGGACGAGATTTTGATTATTATTATTTTGAATCTTAATCGAAGCGTTTATTTTAAGAACGATTTTAATGTTATTTTAAGATCTATTGTATTTTTGTGGTTTAAAATAAAAGGTTTTGTCGATTGGAATATAATATAGCTACGTAAATTGTCACCGTTTTCGTCCTGACGTAATAGGCTATTTCCGATTTGCATTTTGTCTCTGTGTCAAAACGAGTGTTCGTGCGAAACCATTGATATGAAAATGTGTTCCCCCGGCAGGTTCAAACTCATTTTCATATGGAAGGTTTTGCACGTGGACTCGTTTTGAAACAGAGCCACAAGTTAACTCGGAAATGACCTATTTATTTAGCTCTTTTATTATAAAGTGTTGAATCAGAATGCAAACCAGGCGCAATTGTGATTAAAGTAGAGGGAATTTTATTCTATACATTAAGGAACAAAATTTATTTCTTAGCAACTAAATAGATTTTTTACACAGATAAATTTAGTGTGGTTATTCAGACCGTATTATTTTTGTATTCACCACGTGTACAGAGAATAAAAAGAATTCAACTTCGTGGTTGGCCTTGCATTTTGTCAGTGCCCTGATCTTTGATTGTTTGTGTTCCCGATTATAAAATTCCTGAGAAACCCAGAACGTTGCTGCTGTTATTGTCCTTGATGGTGCCAGGGGTTCTTGATGAGGCTTCCAATGACTGCGTTAGGGCGGACAAGCTTTTGATTGGTGATCTATGTTTTTTGAAGACTTGGCCGAGTAAGTTAATTGGTAATGATTGCCGATGATCGCAGAAACATGAAACGAGTCAGCAAGATATAGAAACGTTTTCTTCACCAAATTAAGAACCCCGAGTATCGCAGAGCGAACCCCTCCAGTATTTAAGTCGAAACTAGCTGACTCCTATCAGCACTCTCCGGTTGCCATGGTTACAGCCTACAGCATTAGTGAAACAGCCTTAATCACAAAACAAAACAAAATTTATTACCTGCTCATGTGATATAAGTTTTTGTACTAATACTTAAAACTTGGATGTTTACGTACAGCGAAACACTTTGGCCACTCTTTGACTAGGTAGAAAACCTTTCAGGAACATGGATAATAATAAGCGGCTTTTATCGGAAATAAAATCTTCATTTACAATGATCTCCTAGACCACGTATAATGGAAAACGTTCGCCTTTTAAAACAAGAAAACGTACAGCATGTAGCTCTCTTTAAAAGTACAAACTAGAAGTAAAGCTCTGTGCTCAAAGAGTTGAACTTTTAAAACGTCTGTTCTTAAAGTTTTTCTCTACGAATAACATGGTGCCCGCTGACGGACTAGTCTAGCTCGGCCCAGTCTTGAAATGTTGCTCGACCCAGTCTCCATCACTGTGTCTGCCTGATTACACCACCAGTTGAGGCTCGCTGTTAGCGGGTCGTTGCTGTGTCACTCTCTGTTCTCCGGGTAACAGCTCTCCCTCATACAAGTTTTCTGTTGAAAGATAAACTTACAGTCAAAAGAATAGCTGGGAAGGTCTGCCGTCTCCGTAGCCATTATTTGAACCGCCACAGAAACGCTACGATATTTCTCAAAGCTTCTACAGAGGTCGAGTTTTTGCAATTGACCTTTCAACGGTTTCTGACGCCATCTTGCTTGGGGGCAAACACAGCAAAAATTGCAGTAAATGTATGGGAAACGTTAAAAGTTCGATGCCCAATAAGTTGAAAGTGATTGACGTTCTGAGTATTTTATGAGATACAAGGAAAAGATACCCAGCAGAAGGTTTTTTGGTCAAATTTGAAGATCATAGATTTGCTGTCAGGCGAGGAATTGCACTCTCAATTGTTCCTAAAATGTCTCCAAATTTTCCCGCGAATTGCGACTCGGGTTTTCAGACAAATGTATGGAAAAATGAAAACCTTAATTGTGGCTTTTCTAGCGAGGCTATTTCCATCAAATGCGATCAGTAAATTCTTTTACCTCGTATCTTTAGTCTTAAATTCATAAAATATCTCAAAATACGAATTCTCCGTGAGTTGTTCACTAGACATTAGATCTTCCATTTTCCCCATACATTTACTGTGATTTTTGCCGTGTTTGTCCCCCCCCCCCCCCCCCCCCCCGTGTTTGCCCCTCCCGAATAAGATGTTGTCAGAAACCGTGAAAAGGTCTATTTAAGTAAAAGTCTACTTACGAGCCGTGTAGTCCTTTGTTGGCTGAACAGACACCAAGACCCATCCCAACACGGCTCCTAATACACGCATAAGATTGATGATCCTCCAAGTCTCCAACAAAGAAGACGTTTCTGCGTCTCCCCTGAAAACACACACACAAACTCAACAACTAAACAACAAACACAAAAACTCTGAAATTAACTGTTGATTCACGCACATTAACCCATAAATTACACATTAAGTCTTCTGGAATCAACGCTTACAAACTTACCATAAGTTGTCATGCACTTTATAAAGACTAATTCTGTCGTCTATATTCGCCACACTAATCGAGAAAACCAGAGCAAAGAGATATGCTGTAGAAGGAAAGAAGCATTTATCATTTTAAGTAAAAATAATGTTGAAATCAAGCATTTAGGGTAAGCCATGTGTCGAAGTTTAGCTAGCCGAAGGGAAAACACCCTCTACTAATTGGGGACACTTAATATAATTAGAAGCCTACTAAATGATTTAAAGCCTGCTAACTTTTAACTAATGGGGGTCGAGTTAAAAACCCAAGTTCTTGAAATGATGTCCATCGAAAAAAAGCCTAACCAGAAAAAAAAAGTCATTATGTTATGAGTCAAGAATCATTACAATACATTGTCATAGAAGGATACTCTAAAATATCGTAAGAAGTCGAAGAGATTGATTGTTAACTATTTCTGTCAGCTCTCTTTTCGTACCACTAATTGAGAGAATCCTAGACGGTCTTGTGAGCAGGCCATGGAAAAACCCAGACCGTGGATTTGCCATGTCATATCTGCAATGAACAAGCAACCAAAGATCAGTATAAATAGAATATATGAATTTTCAAATATTGCGGAATGAAACTTTTTTCTCAGGCGTTTTCACAACTACTCATGTTATTTATTTAACTGCGATGGTCTTTCTTCTAATTAAAGATCAGGGCAGTGTTGTTCAAAGCCCGATTAGGTTAACCCAGGATCAGCTAAAGGTTTGATTTCAGTTTTGTAAATTATCAGTGAGGTTTCCTGTTCATATTCTTTGTCCCTCTGTTTGAGTTTGAATGATCTCAAACTACATAAGCAGTAAACAACATTTTTATAAGAGAAAAAGTCATACTTTGGTTAACTTTTAATCCTGGATTAGCAACCTAGCCATGCAACAGAGTTGTCGATATCGCATTCTTTTGAATCACTATAAAATTTTATGCCTATCACATATGAACACTTTCAGACAACAAAATCACACACACCTGTCGAAGACGGACACTGTACAAATGGCAAACAGCATGTAGTAAAGAGACTGCAAAGGTTGCGCCAGTTTGTAGTAGTTGTCTAAGAACACTACATCTCCTTCACTACTGTTGCTTAGCGAGTAAACAAATATGACTTGACAGAGTGCAAGACCTGCAGTGTAACGACAAACAACACTGGTTTAATGTCTCTGACTATTGTTACTATGATTCTTTTATGTCAATGAAAGCACGTTTTCACATCTTGGAACGTTTTTGGTCTTTACAAGGTCCTCAGCTTATCACTAGATTTCATCAGTATGAAAGGATTCTTATAAGAATATCTAAACGGTTATGCATCAAGGAAGAGGGATCGCTTGTCTTTAAATCCAATTTATTGTATTTAAATTTTTGAATATTTATTACTTACAGCTTTGGATTTTGGCCAAAAGTCCAAGTAGCAAGATTTTTATCACATAGTAGATAGCCACAGCCCAGATGCAAATCGCTGATATTAGAATGTTCTTTACACACGATGAGCAAGTCTGATAAATGCCATTTTGGATGACAAACTGCCTAAAAAAAGCCCGTTTTGAGGCAAACAAGTTCAACAGTCTGTAATCACTGCTGGTTATCTTTTGATACTTATAGACCCTTTTCATATGACAATTATTTTGTATGCATTTAAAATAATCTCACTATTATAAAACCTGATTTGAGAGTAAAACTACTGTTGAATAATAAACTTAAAAACGAGGTTAGTAAAGCTCATTTTAATACTAACAAAAGAATTTATAATTGCAGCCATTTATGAAAAGGGTTCTATTAAATTATAATATTGCATGTCACAAATTTTGATGAGCTAAGCATTTAAGCATCAGCTGTGCATCTAAGTCAGTGCATCACCTGCAAGGAGTCCATGACAAAAAAGAGAAAATGATCTAAAAGCTCGGTGCACAGACTGTTGAAGAAAGAAAAATACAATTATAAATATTACACTTCAATGGCTACAATGGCTTTTTCACTTCAGTAACAGAAAGAAGAAAGAAAACCAATGCAACAAGGGTAGTAACAAATGGAATTGGGTTCGGAAACTTGCACAAGCTGGTGGCCCCTGTTTTTTCAGACTAACTGAACAGCAAATATATATTTCTTTTAGTATTAAAGCTGTTTGGGTTGTGCAACAGATTTTCCATAAAAACTCACATACCACAGCAAACTCAGCAGTTGTCATCGGCCTGCTGCTGGGAATCGACTGAGGTTCTTTCCTCTCCTCCTCTAGCTGCAGTA